CGTAATTATTCCAGAAGCATAAGATCAGATGGGCCAAGATCTTTTTAAGGTCCTGAAGTAAATATCGAGATTTGATGGCAACAGCAATTTGCATTTATACCCTTTCAGCGGAGCATCTCAGAGCCCTGGATCTTTCTCTCACAGTTGTAACTTAATTTCCTTTTTTCAATATAATATTTCATAAAACCTTTAAAAGATTTGATTTGTTAATATCAGGTCTGATATATTAACCCTTACACCTATCTCAGTGGGGGGCTTTACAGGGGTGTATAACATTTTTAATTAAGTCAGCCCATGATATACCAGTAAGTTTTGCTAATAGAGGCTAATGTGTGGAGTCCTGTAGCTCAGTGGTTAGAGCACTCGCTTTGCAAGCGAGAGACCTGAGTTCAATTCCAGGCAGAGGGCGAAACCTTGGGCAAGTTTCTTTACTCCACACAGAGCCTAATAATAATCCCTCCAAAAAAACAAAAACAATAATAAATTGGTCATTTTCAATCTACGACTGTTTGTGGGACATTGCTGTGCGCAATTGGCTGCCGCGTTCGCCCACAAATATACAGTCAATTCACTTTACAGTGTGTTCTGTGAAGCGCTTTGGGACGTCCTCCCGACGTGAAAAGCGCTACATCAAATGCAAGGATTATTATTATTAAATGTTATAATTTTCCAGAATTACTGTCTTAAACTTTCATACAAAGGCTAAGGACTAGGTCTTATATCCACCTATCCACTCTTTTCACCATGGCTAGTTGTGTTCAAGAGAGGATGGATGGCAATCAAGACTGGCAGAACCATTCATTTTTCTAAAAGTTTGGGTTTGCTTGCAGCAGACATGTTATGCCATTGTATGTTTTCTCAGAATGTTGGTTTTAGTAACAATAACAACTTGCATTAATATAACACCCTACACGGGGGTAACAGATTGGAGCACTTAAAAGTGGAAAAGTACACGTAACCTTGGGAACAGGGAATGGGTATGGCAAGCTCTCTGTAGCGGTGTGATAGGGATGAAGGTCAGATTTGAATAGCTGAGAGGACAAAAGGATTCTGTAGATTTCTTTCCTTGATTGCTTTAGGTTCATCAGAGTCTGTGGGTGCTGTTTTCCCCCAGGAGACAGAGTGAGTGAAGAGTTAGTTTGCCAAGATTATGAAGGGAGCAGGCTTGATAGGTTTTTTCCTCATTCCATTACTTTAAATAATGAATAATAAATAATCTTTACATTTGATATATCGTCAATAATATTTTCAAAGTGTTTCACAAGAAATTGCTGTGAAGTGTACTGACTGTATTTAATTTCACACAAGCATCCTGAATATTATTACACTCTGGTTGGATAAAAGCAAATGCCATTGAGGAGGTATATAAAGGCAAGTTGTTGTTGTTGCAGATTGGCACATGACTCAGGGACCTGCACAGTCCTGTCTGAGGGTTACAATATTTGGTTATTACAGATTCTAACAGTGGGCACTAGCCTTACCCAGTCTGCTTATTGTTACAACAACAACTTGCATTTATATAGCGTCCTTCACATGGGCAAGTGTCTTAGAGCGCTTTACAGTGGCGGAACTGGACGCCAAGCCGAGGAAAGAGGGGAAGTGACTGTAGGCACAGTCGAACAGGAAGGTCTTCAGGTGCAATCTGAAGACAGACAAGGAGGGGTCAAGGTGGAGGAATTGAGGCAAGGAGTTCCTGAGTTTTATAGCGTAATGACTGAAAGCAAAGTGCGATGGTGCAGAAAGCCCTGTTCGTCTAGATTTGAAATGTTGGGTGACTTAAATCTTACACAGGAATATTTTCTGATGGAAAACTATTTCATGGAAATATTCACATATGTGAACTGAGTAAGATATCTCCCAGGGCTCTGAAAGTGTATTCGGAAGATATTAACATATTCTCATATCCTGTCTGTTGATGCGAAAGACTAAATTTGGCTGCTTGCAGATTTGATATTCCATTTCCTGTCTGTAGGAAATCTGTGGCTACTGGCTATGGGAAATTCCAGCTGTTATATTACATGCAAGCTGAAGATGTAAAGAGGCCATTTCATGCCTACTAAAGAGTTTGTTTTGATATAAAATTAATTGGTTTTATCAGACTTTCAATTTTACAACTGAAACAAATTGACCGAAGAGTTGGCCTTAGGAAATCTTATTTTAATCTTAATTACTGCAGAAAAATATTTTTGAGTGTAATTGTAAGCAGGGATGAAACATTGATTGTAATAGCTGAATGTGCTGAATTGGAATTTTATTATGTCGGTTTTCTTTGTAATATTTTATTGAAATCATGACAGTGTGTTCTTATATGTCTGCTTGCTGCTCCATCTCCATCACAGTGGCAAGTAGATATACAAACAGAGACATTTTATAATAATGATCCTTGGCTTTGATGTAGTGCCTTTCACGTAGGGAGATTGCCTCAAAGCACTTCACAGGATTTACTATAAACTGTAATGATTATGTACTTTGTAAGCAAACCCAGCTACCAATTTGCACACAGCAATGTTCCACAAACATCCTTGAAGTGAATGTCCAACATTTTATATCTGGGAGATTGTTGGCCAAGACACTGGGAGAAACTCCCTTCCCTTTCCAAATATTGTCAAGTGATCTCATCCAAAGGGCGGCATCTCCAACAATACAGCACTGCCCCATTACTGTTGTAATGTTAGCCTAGACCAGGGGTCTCCAGACGGTTGATCACCATTAGGTAGTGTGGCTGTCGTGTATGATTAAAAGGACAAGAAGAAGGAGCAATAGAACTGCGTCATTTTTCAATTAAATTGAAAATGAAGCCAGATGCACAAAGTATTTCATGCATCTGGAAATAAAAGTATAATTTTTTTTATATTGTTTAAATTGCAATAAATATCTCTTAAGTATGTGCAAGGCACCACCAAGTGACGATTGACTTGGAGATCAAATAAGATCAAAGGCTTGATCCCACAACTTTCTGCATCAGAGATGAGAATGCTACCAACTGCGCCAGGCTGAGTTGGTAGCCCTCTGAGTTTCTGCATAGATTGAGGCCAATGACCCATTGTGTCTCTACATTTACCTTAATTAATTAAGTAATTTCGTTTAAATACCTAAAGACCTAAAGGAATAGAACAGGGGTTGAGGTGCCACTACACTATCCATCACAAATGTACAGCCATTTAAATGAACCTGACGCGATAACTAATATATTTCACCAGCACTTGGCTCAAGTGCACGACATCATTGCCAAGTATATGTTCCTCCCAGTGGTAAACCAGCAGCAATAGTAAAATCAACAATGCTGATCATTCAGTGTTCTCATCTGAAGTAGGCGATGTGAAGTTATTTATCTTTCAAAGAAAAAAATCTCTCATAGCAAAGTGTAAAACAAACCGTCAGATTCAAATACGTCAAGGTATTGCTGATGACAGACTAGCTAACTCAATTTGTTGGCGGGACTTGAAGCGACAGATCAGTCACTGAGATAAGGGATTCCTCCCACTAGGCTCCTGTTAATTCTAACAGCTAGGGTGGTATTAGCTGGACTAGCAGCTGGAAGCGTCCCAGAGAGTGCTATCAATGCCAAGTTGTGCGATATTAGCTGACAAAATTCTAGCAGTACCCCAACACACACTCTGGGGATCCAAACCTTGATTGAAAAGCCTTGTCAACAGCTGACATCTAATACTTTCTGGAATTAGAGAGACCGCCCGTTATATTCCAGGCATGAGGAAATTTCCATGTGTAGGTGGTATACACATGTGGGACTGTCTGTCTGGTTTGGATATTGGTAGCCATGGTGATGGGTTTCTGCATGTGTCAGATACCTGGTTGATCCAAACAAAATCCTACATTAGCTTATCAATTAACAACAACAAAATTACATTTTCTTGGCGCCTTTCACATCAGGAGGACATCCCAAGGCGCTGGACAGGCAGAGTTATGGACCCAAGCTGGGGTTCGGGGCAGGGGACGGTGGAGGGCAGGGGGAGAAGCAGGGAGATCAAAAGCACAGTCGAAGAGGAGGGTCTTGAGGTGGGTCTTGAAGGTGGTGAGGGAGGGGGAGAGATAGAGGGACTGCGAGATGGAGTTCCAGAGGGCGGGGACAGAGTGGCGTGCCGATAGTGGGGCGAGCAAGGCAGGGGACGTGAAGCAGGCCGGAGCCCACCGAGTGGAGGGAGCGAACAGGATGGTAGAGGGTTAAGAAGTCGAAGAGGTAGGGGGGAGCAAGACTGTGGAAGGCTTTGAAGGTGAGGACCAGGATCTTGAACTGTATCCTCTGTGTGATGGGAAGCCAGTGGAGTTGGGCAAGGATGGGGGTGACAGGGTCAGGGAGCCTAATGCGGGAGAGGACATGGGCTGCAGACTTCTGGATGATCTGCAGCCTTGGGGAGACCGACAAACAATGAGTTTGCATAGTCGAGCCTCAATGTAATGAAAGCATGTACGAGGGTTTCGGCGGTCTGCGTTGTGAGACAGGCAATATTGCGGAGTTGGGGAAAGGCAGAGCGGGTCATGGCCCCGATGTGGGGTAGAAAGGATAGCTGAGGGTCAAACAAGACGCCAAGGTTCTGGACTGTCTTAGCAAGGTGGAGTGTGCAACCATGGATGTTGATGCTGTCAGCGCCTACCGTAACCACATTTGATTTGTTACAGACTCTGAACCAATCATCTCATAAATATTGTAAATGTATATTTTAGAGAGTTTTAATTTATTTTGTAATTTTTCTGCCTCCAATCATTTTCTACAATCTCTTGAATATTGAAGTTCAAAATGAGACATTCAAAAAAGAAGTCACAATTAATGCAATGATTCACACATGTCGCAATTTAGATCCTATTCTTTCCTTCATCATGCAATACGAGGTTCAGAATATTAGATCCTATTTAGTATTGATTTCTATCATTGTATTAAGTATAATATGTTAACTAAGTGCATCCCCAAATTGTTGACGTATTGCAATAAATTGCCTTCTCAACCCTTCTGCTAAATGTTTGTCTTGTTTCCTTTTGCATAGCTGAACTACCGGAACAACGAGACCAATGGCACTGACACACACAGAAATGTGGGTTTGGATACATTAGTTGGCTGGTTTGACTGCTGGGTTAGAAATCTTTAATGTATCATCTTTTTCCCTATTATTTCTAGCTGCCATTTTGTTTAAAAAGCAAAACTCTAGTGCTGTCATTATTTTTATAGCATCAGCTTTTATAGGGAAATTTGGGCCACAAGAGATGACAGACTTTTGAGTGTCCTTTACATACTGTAATAGAAAGCTATTGTATAATTATTGTGGCCATCATTGCCTTTCTCTATAAATTCTACTGATGTTTTTACTCATTTTTCAGTCAATAAAATCTCCAGAATAATATGATTTTGTTTTAAAAATCATTGACAATCTAAGTGAAGGGCCAAACCACATAGAATTTAGGAGTTGTGATGGAAACATTCCTATCTTACGAGCCAATGTGGCAGGGTGTAAAATTAAATGATATCATAAGCAAGACAACTTTTCCAAGATTCCTCAGTTACTGATCCTTTGGTTGAAAAACTGCAACTTCCCATATTACCCTCCTGCTAGAAATGAGCTGTGGGGGAGTTAGCAGCCAGGCCATCACTGGAAAACAGTAGCTTGGAATCCAAAGAGGGGCTAAAATGGGGGAAAATAAACATTTGAGAATATTGGAATACCTAGTATATTCCACAAGTAAGTTATGAACCCCTTAGCTGCAAGAGGCAGTTTCTGTTCCAATTATTTGGGCCACAGAGATGACAGACTTTTGACTGTCCGTTACACTCTGTCTCAACGACATGATCCCCCTGATTGAGGCCACACCACCTGGCTATACCTTCCACCATATCCCACATTCTAACTGCCATGGCGGTGGTTGGATCTCATATCCAGGTGCTCACTTGCTCTATCCCCCTACTCCACCAGCTTATCCCCTCCTTCGAGCACCTTACCATCTACCATCCCTCCAATCTTTTCCTCAAAATTCTCCTGATTTATCATCCCCACCAAACCCTTCCCCACCTTCATCTCGGACCTCACAATCAGCTATCTCAGATCACCATTTCATCTCCCTTAACTCCTCAATTCCTCTCCCCACCGCCACCCAACCCACCTCCATCTCCTACCGCCCCTGGAAAATAAACTCTCTGCTGCCTTTGACACTGTGGACTACTCTACCCTCCTCCACTACCTAAGCCTTCAAAGTTCTGTACTTAAATGGTTCAGATCCTATCTCTCACATCGGCTCCACTTTGTCTCCACAAACAGCTTCTCCTCCAGCCCCCGCACATTCTCACGCAGTGTTCCTCGGGGCTCTATCCTCGGTCCACCTCTCTTCAACCTGTACATGCTCCCTCTTCGTGACATGGGGTCAATTTCTACATGTACACGGATGACACCCAACTCTATCTCTCTGCCTCCAGCCTCGACTCTAGGACCACTGATGTCCTGACAAACTGCCTGTCAGACATCAAGTCCTGGATGAGAGCCAACTTTCTACAGTTGAGCATCAATAAGACCGAGGCCTTCTTGATTGGCTCTCACCAGTGCTCCGAATCTCAGGCGCTGGCAGCATCAGCATCCACAGATGCACACTCCACTTCACCAAGCCAGTCAGGAAACTGGGTGTCTTGTTTGACCCTCAACTGTCTTTTCTCCCCCACGTCCTTGCCATGACCCACTCTGCCATCCCTCACCTCCACAACATCGCCCAAATCAGCCACTGCTTCACCCCTCAAGCCTTGAATCCCTCTTGTATGCCTTCATTACAACCAGGCTCGACTATGCCAATGCCCTGCTTGTCGGCCTTCCCTCCACAAGCTGCAGATCATCGAGAACTTACAACTCGTGTCCTCTCCCGCACCAGGCTCCATGACCCCATCACACCCACCCTCGCCTGGCTCCACTGGCTCCGCATTCCTCAGTGAATCGAGTTCAAAACTCTTGTCCTTACCTTCAAGGCCCTCCATGGCCTTTCCCCCTCCTACCTCTCCAACCTGCTAACCCCTTATCAACCTGTCCACTCCCTCCACTCAGCAGGTTCCGGCCTGCTCCATGTCCCCCGCTCAGCCCGTCCCACCAACAGCGGTCAGGCCTTCAGCCTCTCTGCCCGCACCATCTGGCACTCCACCCCACATTCCCTTCGCCTCTGTCTCTCCCTTCCCTCCTTCAAGGCACGACTCAAGACCCTCCTCTTCAACCAGGTCTTCGGCCACCCTCCTACCCTCTCTGTCCTCCACCCTCCCTGATCGCAATCCCCCCTTCCCACCCTCCGCTGCTTGGGTCCTAATCCCTGGCTATTCAGAACCCTTGGACATCCTCCCGACGTGAAAGCGTTTTACAAGTATAATTTTGTATTGTATTGTGATAAGGTGCTGTATCGAATGCAAAGATTCTTATTCTTATAACTGATTGTCACTGTTCAACTGCTAATGTAAGAGTCTTTAAAATCCTCTTTAAGGTATTCACAGGTGGTTTCAGGCCCCGAGTATTTACATAGCTATACTCAAATTAGTGGCTGGTCTGGTGATTCAGTTCTAGACAGGTTGACATCGATAGTATATGGAGGAATGTTGCTGAAGGGCTTTTGGGACATTGTTGTGCACAAATTGGCTGCAATGTTCATCTGCAAAATACAGTCACTACTCTTTACATTAAACTCCTGTGAAGCACTTTGAGACATCCTGCAGACCTGAAAGGCGCTGTGTCAAATGCAAAGGATTACTATTACTGTGTAAGATTTATTGCGGTTACTGAAACTGGTGGTGATGGTTTTGTTCTTGGAATAATGATAGCGCATCTTTATTTAAGATTTTCATAATATGGATAACAATAGTATTATCTACACTTCCTTTTAGTCAGCCGAATTAGCTCAACATGTTTAAGAGATCCTCATCAAACTACTGCGAGTGTGCACTCATCTCAGAAGTGCACATACTGCTTACCAAATCCCAGAGAATTTACACTCCTCTTGGCAAGAGCCAAGGCTTAGGGATCCCAGAGTCTGCTTTGACTGCTGCTCGATATTAATTAAAGTCAATTAATGCATGATGCCAAGCCAGGATTGTGAAGTCCCTTCGGACGTCCTCCCAATGTCTATATAAATGTAAACAAAACGCAAATTACTACAGATGTTGGAAATCTGAAACAAAAACAGAAGTCGCTGGGAACACTCAGCAGGTCAGGCAGCATCTATGGAGAAAGGAAAGTGAGTCAACGTTTCGGGTCCACGACCCTTTGTCAGAACTTGTCAGAGTTGATTCTACATGGTTTTGTATTAGTCTACAAGTTATATTGCTGATGATTAGTACATTTCTGTGTCCCATTTGTGATACTCATGATGTAACAACTGCTGTACTTACATCTGTGAAAAGGCAAAAAAATTGGTTTGTCCACTTACAGATTTTATGGAGAGAATCTTGTTACTGCACTGACCTCTATAGGCCACTTCTGTAACAGCATTTAATCCAATTGTGTTGCTGGCACAAAACACACCTCTGCCAAACACTTGATATCCAAATACTGTATATATAAAATAATAGCAATGGGGAAATTCTGATATGTTTTCTACAGTGTTTTGGGTTTGTACTAATTTTCTTTTAAGGTAACAAATGCTATTTTAAGTCTGATTTTTTTGGAACCTTGATGTTTTTATCTTTCACAACGACTGACCATATTCATTTGCTTTGTGTTTTCTGTACAGGATACAAATGGGTTCAGCTTGTCTGTGGGTGCTCAAGACACGCATACCAATGAGGGAAGAGCTTCCATCATATCTCTTAAAACAGAGAAAGAAGCCTTATTAGTAGGTAAAGTATCCTGTACTTCTCTTACTAGCAAGGATGATTTCATAATTATCATTGAACTAATATTGGGTTGTTATCTTGCAAGGCCAAAAGCAAATGTTTAACGGTATGCCATTAGTTGTTTGTGACAAAGGACTTGTGGACAAAGGAAAATATGAAATACTCACAAAGGTTGAGACCAGAGTGAAGTGTATTGGAAAATCACTTGACTGTGCATGGAATAGATGAATATAGGCTCAGTTGTCTTTCCATCCACCCCCTTGCACCTCAAAAGAGAGCTAGATCAATAGGAACAGAATTGAATGGGAATCAGGATAGGCATTGACTGAGATGATCAAATAGCCATTGGGACACATGTTACTACTCTGGTCATCATTCGTCCAAATGACATTGGTCGTTCATTTCATGGTTTGTGGGACATAGCTGTGTCCAATCGTGCTGCTGTGTTTGCCTACAAATATACAGTCACTCCATTTTACAGTAAATCCTGTGAAGCACTTTGAAATGTCTTTCCGATGTAATAAGGCGCTATACCAAATGCAAGGATTATTATAGACTCAGCAAACTTGCTCTACAGATTTTATGACTGTCACGTTCAACTACAAATCCATGGGGTAAAATTCTACCAGGCTCTACATGTACTGAATTTATGTAACATTTTAGGATGTCCAAGATTTGGCAAATTGTTGTATCTAGTCTTAACTTTGAAGCCAATTTTCTGTTGTTTGTTAAAAGAACTTACAAACTGTGTTTTGCTCATAAAATATAGTCTGCCAATTTTGTACACTTTGAAATGGTTTGTTTACAGAGTAAATCTACGCCCAAATAGAATTTTACTCCTACAGTGAGTACACAGGGATTACAGCAATTATCTGTGAATCACTGAGACATTTCAATGATATCAGCGCTATATCAAATGCAAGGATTTTTATTATTATTAATACTCAATATTCACAACTCACATTATTTGAACACATGCATGTCCAAAAGATTGACTGACTCTTCAGGCACTTCATATATAATATTAATCCTTGCATTTGATATAACGCCTTATCACGTCTTTGAGACATCTCAAAGCGCTTCACAGAATATACAACAAAAACAGGTTGCATGTATATAGCGCCTCTACGTCGGGCAGGGTCTCAGAGCACTTAACAATGGTGGAACCCGAGCCAGGGGGAAGGTGACCATAGGCGTGGTCGAAGATGGGGAAGGAGTGGGGGCGGGGGGGGGGATGCGAGGCGAAGGGGTTGAGGAAGGGAGTTCCAAAGTTTCGGGGTGTAGTGGCTGATGGCACGGCCGCCGATGGTGGAGCGGAGAATTCGGGGGACACGGAGGAGACCGGACCCAGTAGAGCGGAGCCAGCGGGTACTGCTGTGGGGAGAGAGGTTAGAGAGATAGGGGGTGCCAAGGAATGGAGGGATTTAAACACTAGATTGAGGATCTTGAATTCGATCCACTCTATCACAGAGAGCCAGTGGCGTTTGCAAGGACTAGGGTAATCAGCATACGAAGTTTGGTGCGGGTGAGAATGCGGGCAGCGGAGTTTTGAGTGAGGTGAATTTTGTGAATAATGAAGGAGAGGAGACTGACAAGGAGGGCATTAGAGTAATCCAGGTGACAGAGGCATGGACATGGGTTTCAGCAGCTTTTGGGGTGAGGTATTGTCGGAGACTGGCAATGTGGCGGAGGTGGAAGAAAGCGGTGCTGGTCAGGGACTGGATGTGGGGGAGGAAGGGTAACTGGGGATCGAACCTGACACCTAAGTTGTGCAGGAGTTCGGAGAGTTTTAAGGATAGGTCGGGTAGGTTGAGGATGTCGGAACCGTGGGACAGAAGACGTGGGTGGGAGCCAAAGAGTATGGCTTCCATCTTGTTGACGTTCAATTGAAGGAAATTTGCGCTCATCCAGTTCTTGATATCCGACAGATAAGCTGATAGAATATCAGGGAACTAGGGGTCGCAGCTGGTGGTGGAAAAGTAGAGTTGAGTGTCATCCACATACACGTGGAAGTTAACTCCATGTCTGCGGATGACATCACCGAGAGAGACCATATAGAGGAGGAAGAGAAGGGGGCCAAGGATAGAGCCTTGGGGTACCCCGCAGGTAACCGGGTGGAAGCAAGAAGAAAAGCCATTTGCAGAAATGTAGTGCTGGCGGTTCGTAAGGTAGGACTCAAACCAAGCGAGTGCGGTCCCACTGAGGTGGATGATGGAGGACAGATGGTGGAGGAGACATGCGAGAGGAGAAAGAGATGAGGAAGTGGTCTGAGATGGCCTTGTCCGTGATAGACAGGTTGGAAATATCAAGGCCATGTGTGATGACAAGGCCATGGTTTTGGGTCAGTGAGTTGATGTGGAGGGTGAGGTTTAGGGAGGCGAGGAGGGCAGTGAAATCCGAGGATGTGGTGCAAGGGGAGTCAAGCTGGAGATTGAAGTTGCCTATTATGAGCAGGTGTTCTGAGCAGAGGGTCAGGGATGAGAGATGAGAGGAGATATCGGAGAGGAAGGAGCCAGAGGTTTTGGAGGGCGGTAAACCAGGAGAATTTTGAATGGAAGAGGAGGGATGGTAGAGGATGAGGTGCTCAAATAAGGAGCAGCAGCCAGCGGAATAAGGAAATAGACCGAGGGAACCTTGGGAGATGAGGGTTACCCCGCCACCACGTTGGTTTGGGCAGGGGGTGTGGTACTAAGTGTAACCAGGAAAGTGTAACCAGGAGGGGAGGCTTCAACTAGGGGGACGGAGTCACTAGGGGAGATTTCTATAAGCCCAAGAATATCAATGTGCTCATCCAGGATGAGGTCATGGATAGTGAGGGCTTTATTGGAGAGGGAGCAAACATTTTGTAGGGAAATGCAGATGGATTTGCTGGTGGGGTGGAATGTAGGAGAGAGTGGTTGGAGAGGATTTGGGGTCGTGGGGGAGAGATGATTGTGGAGTTGCAGGAGGGGGGAGAGTTGGACAGGGTATGGATGAGGAGGGGGAAGGGGTGTTTGTCTTTCGGAGGCAGTTGGTGCAGAGAGCTGCTCAGGGACAACCAACATCGGGAGCCACGATCGGCCCGGCGGAGAATGCTCAGTCTGGAGCAGAGGGAGGTAACGGTGGGGTCCAGGAGAGAGAGAAGGCGGGGAGGCCAGCGGGAGAGGACAGAGTGGGAGTAGCGGATAGAGAGGCGTGGGAGGAGGAGCATTTCCAGGGGGAGTGGCTCGGGTCAGGGCAGCAGCCAAAACGCACATGCAGAGACCGGGAGTAAGCGATCAGCGGGACAGCATCAGCCTGCGAGCTTCAGGAGACAGCACAGGGGGGGAGGGGGAGAGGTGGGATGGCGGTCATGGCTTAGGTGCCAGAGACCGGGAGGGAAGGGGAAGACAAGGTAGCAGAAGGATAATTGAGTGTACTTACTCTACCCTGGGGATTTGAAACTGGCGAAACTTTAATATACTGTAAAGTTAATTACTGTACATTTTATGGGCGAAAAGCGGCAGCCAATTGCGCACAGCAGTGTCCCAAAAGCACTCGTGGATTGAGTGACGACATTTTTTTTAAGGGATTATTACCCTTGGAAAAGCAATCCGCCAATTGACTAACAACCAGGTTCCTACATACTGCTCGGTAAACAGAGGCATATGGAGTAAGGAAACTTGCCCAACCTTTCGCCCTGCCAGGAATTGAACCTCTCACTGCGAGGCGAGTGCTCTAACTACTAAGCTACAGGACTCCACATATTGCTACGAGATCCATGGTTAGAGTTTTAATACATGTTTAAGGTGACTGGAGTATTCATACTGAGAATTGAAAGTCGTTGAATTTAAAGCTTTAGATACTTGATGTATAGGATCACATGAAGTCACCCACAAAATACAGTCACTACATTTTACAGTATATTCTGTGAGGTGCTTTGAGACATCTCTACGACATGATAAGGAGTTATATCAAATGCAAGGATTATTATTATTATAGCCAGTTAATTTTATTATTCCCTTTGTCCCAACAAAGGATTCCTATCAAAGTAGGGGTTTGGTTTAAAATAAATTTGTATTAAAAAAAACGTAATGTACCATTTCAAATAAAATAAAGAATGGATTGAAACATAGCAATATACAGGACTGTAAAAATAACAATTGTGCCATATCTAGCTGGTCCTATATAATATTGTTATCCATTCCTCTATCTTTCATACCCACAAGGTAATAAAAAAAAGTAGTTCAGATAATGAATGTTGCCTTCCACCTCCACAGGATTCAGTTTAAAGCAGCTGCTTCTTGGGTTTTGTTTAATGTACAATCGATATAGGACAGAATGCTCCCTGTTCCCTCGCTTGTGAATATAACCCCCTTGACAATGTAGCACTCACCCCTCTTTCATGCCTTTGAGCTAAGGCTATATTAATAATAATAATAATCCTTGCATTTGATATAGTGCTTTTCACGTGTTCTCGACGTCTCAAAGCCATTCACAGAATAGACTGTAAAGTGAATTGACCGTATATTTGTGGGCGGAACACAGCAGCCAATTGCGCACAGCAATGTCCCACAAACAGTCATGGATTGAAAATGACCAATTTATTATTGTTTGGTTGCTGTGGAGTTTGCTGTTTCTGGGTGTGCTCTACTCTCACTGTGATACTCTCACTGTGATGTGTTTTGTTTCCTGCCTGAAGCCTGGAATCGTGACATTTTTTAACGTTTGATCCACATCCAGCAAGTCTTTCACGGTCATGCTCCAGTCCCTCGACGGCTGATGTCTCAGAGAGAAGGAGATGCAGCTCAGGATCAGTTGTGATTTTATCTGTTTATTCACATGACTGAAGTTACATGTAGCTGTTAATTGTCAAGTCTTGTCTTGTGGCTTTCTCATTCACTGTGGCTTTCTCATTCACTGTCTAGCTTGTCCAAAGGCACAGGTTCCTTCTGATATGTTCTTTTTAGCACGCAACAAATCCTGATTTTTTTCACTGCTGCTCAGTCACCTGTCAAACTGACTTCTGTTAACAAATTAAAAAC